TTCTCGCGTCCGCAAAGCCTTGTCTTCAGTTAATTTACCCTCAATATAGGCCGAGCACCACCGTTGGCGCGAATTTGAGACGGGGATTGACGTGGTAGTGGGCATTAAAGGTGTGCATTCGCGCCCTCTCTTCAACCCATCCCTCTTCCTCGGAGCATCTGTCCTCATCGATGCGGTCTTCTCCGCTGTTTCTGGTCTTCGTGGGTCCTTTGGAAGACCGTTTCCTAGGCATTGGCGGACACGAAATATTTCGTGGCGTCAAAACGTGTCTTCCTTGTTCGCACATAAACTCTCGTCTTCGCGAATCGCGTGCCACAATTACTCACTGGTTACCATTCTAGATCCTGCTGAACACCAACCAACGATATCTCGGAGGTGTGTCGATGTGTGCCCTCGTCTTGCACAGAAGTGCTTATTGTGATTCGTGCAATCTCCAGTCTACCTTCTTAGGTCTCTTTGCTCAATATCTTGAATCTCAAATTTCGATCTAAACCCCGCGCTTGCAGCATCTGTTAATGGCGGAAGCCACCGCGACATTCAAGGACATCCCCGAACTTTTCGAGGTGTGTGTCATGGACTCTCCATGTCCCGCTGCTGAGCGGACGTTCTGCAGGTCGACCTCGGCGAATCACTCACCGCCCGCACCGAGAGCCTCTGTGAGTGTGGCCCACCTCACGCGAACCTATCGTCTGACGCGGCGCAGCAACCTTCAGAGAGCTCGGGCCACCCGACTTGTGCCATGTCGTGAAAAGCTCTGGAAAGACCGGCCAGCGCGATCTCGGCTCGTACCACTTCGTCTCGGGTGTCGACGCCTCGTCCTCTGCATCCCTGGCTGCGTACATCAACTCCCTCACCTACGCGATCGAGGACTCGAACGCGTGGTTCTCCAAGACCCCCGCGTGGAAGGTGCGCAACGGCTGCTACTGCTGCTTCAATGCCTTCTCGCGGGTCGACTTCCGCGTCGACGTCAAGATTCCCGGAGGAGTGAATGCGTATGTAGTGGATCTGCGGGGCGAGCGGTGCGTCGCTGCACTTCTCTTTCTATTTGGTGCAGCTCTGACATGGGCTAAAGACATGAAGCCACCCCCGAGATGTGGCAGGAAACGTTCGTCTCGGCCCTCCTGCGAGCAATCCTCTACTCGGACGACCCTACACATTCCCTCGACGCGTACCGCAAACTCGACCCCATCACATCTCCCGAAGGCGAACTACGCTTCCTCGCTGCAGCGGAGTCACTGTTCCTCAAGGGTGCGGACCCTTCATTTGTGTACCCGAGCCTCCCGCTCACTCCAGGGCAGGCTGGCAAGTCGGCTCCGATCCAGAGATTCAGGTGGCGTCGGTGACGACGAACCACCTGACTGCCGGGCTGCTCAAATACTTCGGCGCCTCGGGGCGCTACCAACAGGCCGCGAATTTGTTCGAAAAGATCGCCGCGCGCGAGCCCGAGGTCTCCTCCCTCCTCGCACGCGCGTACCTCGGCATGAGTGCGCGTCCTCCCTTCTTCATCTGAACGCACGTTGACTCGGACCCGCAGACGAGGAAGTCAAGGCGCTGCAGATAATGTCGGCGGCGCTGCGCGGCGCGCCGGGCCCCGCGTCCTACACGCTGCTCCACGTGCAGTGTGATTTTTTGCGCGACAAGGGCCGTGCCGATTGGGCGCTCAAGCTCGCACGGCAGGCGGTCAACGCCGCGCCCAGCGAGTTCGTCACCTGGGAGAAGCTCACGGAGGTGTACGTCGAGCTGGGGATGTTTGAGTCGGTGCGTACCCGTGTAATGGTTCTAACCTTGGCCTGCTGACGTTCGTGAATGTAGGCGTTGCTCACGCTCAACTCGTGTCCGATGTTCACGTTTAATGGCCGTGACGCACACCGGCAGCTCACGCCCTCGCGGGTGCACCTGCCGTTCCATCGCTCGATCGGCGAGATCTTGCCGGATCGAGTGAAGACGGAGGATGACGAGGTACGTGTCTGAAGGGATTCTCCTTTCTCCTTCACCGTTGTCTTGTTATCGACTATTAACCAACCCCTCAGGCTGACCCTGCACTACAACGCCTCCCTGCTCCCGGGCTGCGCGGCACATGGGCGCGTGCCTACGCTCTGCTTACGCGACTCGTTGCCCAGATCGGCTGGGATGAGCTGCTGAAGACCCGGAGTGCCGTGTTCGTGATGGAGGAAGAGTACCGCATGCAGAAAGCGCAGGGCGATATTGCGGGGCACACGCGCACCGAGTCTGCCGAGGGCACGACGCTTGCGGATGGCGACGAGGATAACGCGTCGACGCGGGGGATGGTCAGCCCTGGCGGGAGCGCCGTTGCGACGAGTCCGGAGAGCGTGACCGCGCCCGAGTTGAACGGGAACGGGAACGCCAATGCGAACGAGAACGGCGGCATACCGACGATCCGCATCTCGACAGAGTCGGATCGCGAGAAGGATAAGGATGCGGCTGCTACTGCGGCGGACACGCTGGAGCGGCCAGTGCAGGCGGCGGCGGGCGACGAGGAGGCTGATCTCGCCGGCGCAGACAAGGATGCGAAGAAGGGAAAGGAGCCGGCGGTGCCTCTACAGCAGGAGCCGTTCTCGTTCAGCAACAAGCGCCTGTGCGAGCGATGGCTGGATAACCTATTCATGGTGTTATACGAGGTGCGTGGTGTTTTTTCTCGACTGATCCATCATTGACACTTTCCGCAGGACTTGCGAGTATGGACGATTTTCCGCGCGGAGGTGGCGCATTTCAAGACGCAGCACGTCGCGTACCGCAAGACGGGGCTCGAGTGGGAGATCTTGGGCGATTTGGGGATGCGGCTGCATCACAAGGAGGAGGCGAAGGAGGCGTATCAGCGTTGTCTCGACACGCCGCGGTACTCCGTCAAGCCGTGGAGTAAGTTGATGGACATGTACGCGGACGAGGGCGACATCCAGCGGTCGATACAGACGGCGATCCGCGTTGCGGCATACCAGTATGCTGAGTACACGGAGATGACGGTGCGTCTTGCTTGAGAGCTCAAGTATCAGGCTGCTCATAGCGATTCATAGTACCCGACCCAGATTGCGCAGTGTTTCTTCAAGCTGGGGCACGTCCATGGGCACGCCAAGATCCGCTACACACTACTCAGCATGGGGCTCCCCGAGCCGATTCTCAAAATTATGGACAGCTACCTGCAGTATGGCACGACGTTCAAAGTCGAGGGTTATGATTTCTAGTCTCGTTAAAAGGACGGCTACATATTCCGTCTAATACCTGCTATCCTATTTACGTTTTTTTTCTTAAACCTTTCGCGTAGGTCCGGCGACCGACAGCAGCGATTCTAGTAGTACGATTCGTCACTTATGCTATTGTGTTTTTGCGGTTCCCCAAGAAGATTACAAATGAGTATGTATGCGTAGGTATAAGTATACAGTCGACTCTAAGGCTATGGCGGAGGGACCCTCCAGTACTCGCTCGGTGTAAAGCCCGTCGTGAGCGCCGTGACGGAATTGCGGGCGGTGGTGAGCAGCGGGGCCGGGACTTCGCCGTCGGTGTCCTCATCGAATCCCGTGCCGAGCTTGCGCGCAAGCTCGCGGACAGCGTCATCCTCACGCACCCAAGCCCCTTCGCGGGCCTCGGTGCTCCACCATGCGACCGCGCGCGCGCGGAGGTCGGGGACGCGCATCACGGCGCCGCGTGCGAGGCGCAGGAGCTGTAGGCGCAGCGCAGTCTGCTCTGCGGTGCGCATTGCCGTGATCGTCGGGTTTACGAGGGCGGCGGCGGAAATTGAGGGCGGGAGCATGTGTACCAATGGCGGGAGGACCAGGAAGAGTGCCATGCGGAGAAGGTACAGGTTGTCGTGCCACTGCATAAGATAATAGGTGAGACGATACCGTATGTAGTGAGGACGTGGCGTACCATGAAGACCGGTGAGTCGTCTTTTGGAATTTGTATCGGCTCAGACGAGATAAAGTACGCTTCTACGCAGAAGGCTCCGGCCACGGTGGCGACAGCTAGCGTGCGGTAGCGCTCGCGTCCAGAGTTCTTGATGGTCACAAGCTGCACGAAACGCTCAGTGGGGACGGAGTTGGATGAATTACCAAGCTTACTCCGATGACTGCAGTTTCCCAGATATATGAAAGCAAGGCTCCCGGCAGTGCGAACATCCCGAAATCTTCCCAAGAACGGCAATAATCGCAGCTCGAGACCACCGTGTGGCCAAAGCTGACCGAGGCAACAATTCAGATGGGATCTACGAGTCAAAGGGGCCTCCACGCACCGAACATAATATGTCTTGACGTCAAAAGACTTCAAGTGTTTGAGAAGTGTCTCGAGTGGCTTTGGAAGGTCTCCGGTGTCCGACTGCGTGAGCAGGATGCTCCGAATCGCGTCGGAGGGGGTGTTTAGCGGGATCTTGAGACGCGTAAAGATGTTGACCGGCGGTAGAACGATAATCTGATACAGAAAGTAGAACGAGTGCAGCAGGAGAAATATGTTGAGCAGCGATCGAGTGGAGGTCAAAGGTCGGCCGGGAGCTTTGTGGATGCTCAGGTAGAACCATGGGACCACCAGAGCAGCCGCGGTTGTGGCGAAGAGGACAAGAGAGACCCCTGCAGCCATCGCGTCAAAATGGAAAGAAACACGTCAGACGCCGCGACATACAAAAGGTCACGTGCAAACTCTCCGCTTGGCCCATGCATTGATGATCATTGGATGTTGTATTGATGCAATGTATGCACGTTGAAAAAAAGGAGATGGGAGCTGCCAGTTGGTATTACAAGGTTGGAGGATGTATAATAATAAGGTGATTTCGATACAGGCAAAGACACCCAATCCTCCGCTTTCGCATTATAATAACAGCAAAAAAAACTGAACCGGGCCAGGATCGAACTGGGGACCTTCTGCACTCGCAGAGAATGACCAAATGGACGCAGCAAGTGAAGCTAGGCTAGTGAAGGCCCGGCTGGACTCCCAAAAAAATAGAGATCTCGCGTTCGCACGCGTTCAAACTCTTCTTCCCTTTCTCTGCAAAAAGCTGAACCCGCCCAGGATCGAACTGGGGACCTTCTGCGCCACAAAGATTGTAAAGCAGATGTGATGAACCACTACACAACAGGTCCGTTTCTACGCTGAGGGAATGAGAGGAAACGAGAGGAAACGAGGAAGAAAGACATACGCGAAATAAAGAAAAAAGCTCGATGATCGGATAAAAATTGGGGGAGAAACGAAATAAACATGAAAGACACCCGAGGATTGCGGTCATCTTCCAACTTGAATGATGTGGACCAACCGCCTCAACGATTGACTCAGAGTCGTTGAGTGAGGCCCGAGGGTTGAGTTTTCAACTTGAACATACACGTGATCCCCTCAGCCATCAAAGCCAACAAAGGCCAAACAACTGCATCGTTCACCTTGTTCTTGACTCTCATGGCGGACGCGTCTGCAGCGCCCCGACGTTCGAACCGAAAACCTAAACCTATTCGACGTGAACCATCTTTACCCCCAGAAAATGTTCCATCCAAGCGGAAAGCCAAAGACGACGTGGACCACGCAGAAAAATTGTTGCAAAATCCAAAAAGTCGACTCACCAAGATGGACATATCTGTGCGTTTCTGCCTAAACACGCGGCAGGAGCTCAATTTCTAGGTACATCCTCAGGACCTTATTAACGCCAACTCGTGGAATATGATCTCACCAGACTCACAAAACCGACTCGCAGCTTTGCTTCCCCCTACTGCTTTCCGTTCTTTTCAGCCTACTCTCGGACCCGACCATCCCGCCGCAGCAGACCTCATGAACGTTGACTCCGGCGACGCCGGGCCCTTGGATACATCTATTTTTACCGACGCCCATTTTCTTGCCGCTGCACATACCTTCCAGGACCACTTGTACTCCAATTGGCTATCTGACGCACATGCTGAAAAGGTGGAGAAATACACTAAGGGGATCCATGATGGTAGTCTTGCAGCTCCGTGGAAAGACGAGGTTTGGGAGCGGGATAATCAAAACGAGGAACCGACGATAACCACAGGCTCGCATCCATCTTCCATACTTGCAGGGTATGCCATTTTTTTCATCGCACGCAAAGGGACTTTGTCTCCTGCTGAACTCTGCGCTCTAGGGAAGCGTCAGAACTTAAACTTGGTGATCTTGCGAAGAATTCTGTTCTCCGCGAAGGCGATGTATTGGCCTACAAACGCAACTTCACCAACCTCAATATCTTCGTTGAGAAAGACGCCATCGTGAGGACCCTACTTCCTGCGGATGCCCATGCTAATATCTCCCACGGCTGAAGGTCCAACGAATTGATCCCCGCACTCACAGCTTGACGGTATTGGTAGAGCCCGGTACAACGCGCGATCTACCTGCTCACCTCCTGATGCCGGGCCCCTCCGACCCCTCCGCCCCGACACGTTCCATGACGATAACGAGTCCTACACAACTCGAGAGTGGACTGCTCGATATTGACGGCAGGGTCGAAAGAACCAAGAGACCCCATGGGAATGCATGGAAAGCAATGACGCTGTGGCGCTGGCCAGGGGATGCATTAGGAATAGAGGGCGGACGCGGAGGTAGGGAGGCACATGGCACGCTATTCTATTTGAGGGCGTGTCATTATCAAGATAGGTAACGGGTACGGACTCCTCGCGATGTTCTTGGTGTACCTGCTATCCTCTCCACGCTCGTTTTCCTGGCCAATGTTCTGCTATCAACACCAACGGACTCTATTAATAAACGTTATCAGTGCCTTGAAACTCCCAGAAATTGGGCCTTGTTGTCCAGAACGAAGTCTGCGATCTCTTTGACAAGTTCTGCACCCCTCGACCGCTTGACTACGTCCTTGTCCTTTAGTTCTTGTGTTTTCGGTCCTGCGAGAGCTTCTCCCACTCTGGCGACTTGTCTTCTCGTCCTTTCGCCTCCGACACATCGATGTATACGATCTGCAGTAGCGGGCCGTTGAATGGACACGGTACGATATAGCGACTCCAGGAGAGGATAGCGAGATAGCGATCCAAAAGTGAGCCTTTGTATAGTCTTATATGCTGGATCAGAGTATGGGCCTGAACTGTCTCCGGCAGCGTGTATACATCGATTCCAAGCTGTTTGCTCGCATCGTCTAACAGATACTGTGAGACACAAAGTCAGAACCGTAGCAACGCCCGGAATTCAAGTAAATGACCCACACAAATTTATCGCGGTGCCCTCGTTCTCAACGCGATGTCGACGACACTACCCATTGACGACTTCCCGCACTCGGACAGCCTACCTAGGGCAACCACTATTCAGAGGCGCTGCCGATGGAGAAATGATATCAGCATCATATGGCCTGACAATTCCGTCAGCCTGCGAGGAACGCTTCGAGGAAGAGACAGCGTAGATGATTCTGGACGCCTGAAACTCTTCTGTTGTGCGTGTCGACGATAAACCGCGGGTCCCAGGCCGCCAGCACGAAATCTAATATTTCAAAGCAGGATCGCTTTCGTCCGGTTGTCGGGAGCCCGAATTGGTGAATACGATGTGAGTATTCCTGTCCAGGCCCGGGATCCGTTCTTTATAAACATCAGTTTTCCATCGCTCAGGTAGTACGCCTGAACTGATTCCGACCGAGCGAGGAGATTTCGCTCATAATCGTCGGGCGTCAAAGCCGGCATGGGAATGACGGGTTCAGTCCGATGCTCTTTCATAGTGGCACACCGGATGCGGATGGGGCTTGAAGAAAATGGGAGAATATCAATCTGGGCATCCAAAAATCCCAGTTGCCAGAGGAAATGTCGGCGCTGTTGTGTACGATGAGCAGACTGCATGTCACGAATCAGGAATATTTTAATGAGGCAAGGATACAGCGGGGGCGAAAATAAGTGGGGAGGTTCATGACCGTTGTTCGTTCGCTCTTCCCAGTGGAAGGAACTGGCTTCAATCGATACCCAGCTCACTCAGTTCGCACCAGAGAATGTCATGCAACGAAATAATTCCGAATTAATGTTTCCGGAGTAGGATATCGGAAATTTTCAGAAGCCTGAGCTCGGATTGAGGGATGGTGGGCTTTGTCGTCCTGCTTTTCTGAGGGGCCAGGACGCAAAAACGCACGTGTGGCGGTGCTCATTTACACGTCAGTCACAGAACACGTGATGCAAGTCACTCTGAAGCCCCTGAGTTTCCGGACTCTTCATCTCTCAGACCTATGAAACAGTCCAAAATCCAAGCTAAGATGCAATTAATACGCGTACACTATATAGATAGTCCTACTACTACTACCAAGTACCTACGGGACGAGATCCACTCCGGGTAGATATGTGAAAAGCACAAGCGATATCTAGACTACTCGAGATGCTGTGTACAACCGGGTCAAGGACAAGAAAACGAACGCAGATCCGAAAGCAGAGCAAGAAACGGGACGGGACGATACAAACGGTTAGTATGTACAGGTTGGGTGTGTCGCGGTTGGCGCGGGTCGTTAATGGTCGAACAGACGAAAGAAAATTAAAAATGCGAGAGAGATGACACTTAGCAGGTCTTTTTCACAATGCACGGGCGTAGTGGTTGATGGATGGCGATAAATTACTTGTGGTTCTTGTTCTTGCAATTGGCGAAAAAATTGATGTTGAAATGTTGCTGCGCGCGCTCTCATCGAATGGGTATCTCATGCTCATCAGCCGAAGCAGCCGGAGGGCCACATGATATTTTCAAAACTAAGACCCCATCCTCCATCGCCGCATCGACGTCTTCCGGCTAGCGGAGAGAACAGAGGGGGGTAGATCGTTGGCATACAAAAAAGACGGGTCAGACATAACGGGACAGCGGGGAACATGCGCACTTTCGTGTCGGGGGGGACAGAGAACGCGCGCGTGAAACGGCCGTACTTGCGTTCGCGGTGGACCACGGGGACGGGGGCGCTTGGTGTGGAATGCGGAAAGGGCGGTTGGGAGCGGCCGTTGACGGTGACCTGCCGCACGCGGTTGAAGAGCGTCGTCGCGAGGGTGATGGTGAGGTCGTGCCGCCTGATCCCGGGGAGCTCGAGCAGCGCGGTGAGCACCCGCGTCCCCGGGTCGTAATGCGTGTCCGTGCGGATGGTGTATCGCCGCTCGTCCGCCGCCGGGGCTGGGCTCGCGTGTGGAGGTCGACCCAGCGCCACCAACGGGCCAAAGGTCCCTTCGGCGAGCGGCGAGGTTGCTATAAAAGCCGGCGACGGCCGGCCATACTCACTAGAGCTCTGGTGAAACGACGCGACGAACGACGGAGCGGACGGCACACCTCATCGGCGACGCGAACGTCTGTCTTCCTGGCGCGGGCGAAGGCAGCGCGGACCCTGGCGGCGGCGCCCCTCCATAGTCACTACTAGACAGTGAACCACAAAATGGAAAACGGAGCTGACGGCACACCTGAACGTCTGTCTACCTGGTGCAGGTGAAGGGAGCGCGGAGCCGGGCGCCGCCTGCGGGGTGTTGCTCTGGCTGGCGAACCGAACGTGATGGTGCGCCTCAATCTCTCGGCGCTGGGCGGTGCTTTCCGACGCGCTGGACGGGCGTTGATATGGGTGATATTGGTGAGGTCTTGCGCGCGATGCCGGGCGCGTGCTGGGGCCGGCGTGGGCAGTCGATCTCGTTGTGGTATCGACATTTAACATAACAGGCTTAATCTCTACCGGGGGCGAGCGCCCTGGCGGATGAAGACGTATGGGAGTCAAATCATGTGTTCCCCGTGGTGGTATCTGACTGGGAACTAAATGCTGGGGGTCTTCGATATGCTGCTGCTGCGGCTGTTGTTGCTGATATGCCGGTAATGGCGGCGGTAATGATAATGGCTGCTGCGACGAGTCGGATGCTTGTGAATCTTGTTGCTGTTGTTGCTGTTGCTGGTCCCACTGGTAGCTGGGCTCGCGCGGGGTGGTAGGAGCTGAATATTCATCAGTGGGGTACTGCCCGCCCTGTTGGCCTGGGTAGTACGACATGGTCAAGAGCAACCCGCAAACGGGATCAATTTCCCTTTTATACATCCCGAGTCATCACGGGTCACACCCGCGGAAGCGGATCTAAAAGCGGAAACAATGGTACACGAGGCGGCTATTTGCTCATGTTTGTTAGCACAGCCTCCCGACGCCCGACACAAGCTCAAAAAGTGG